GTGATGTTTTTCTGCTCTTGATTGATTTAATTCACTATTATTGTCATGTTTAAACAGAAACTATTATACTTTCTTAGCTTTGTCTTAAGTAAGTGCATTTTAATGAAATAATTTATGATTCCGAGTATGTAAAATTCAAGTTGTTTTGTCTGCTCTTTGGGACACGGTCTTCAGATGTTTCTAAATGCATATGTTATCCACTGTGGAAATAATTTGATAAAACATGAAATTCAGTGTCTTTACTACATTGGACATTTTTCTATACCAGATACTTCATCAAATATGAGTGACCAAGTGAAGGATTGGAGTGGGGAATATAGAGAGGCTAAAAGTGTCATGACAAAATAAATGCCTGGTATTAATTTCATTGTGCATTTTTTCAGGTTTAATACAGAGGTAAACACTGTTTCTAAAGACAGATAATGAAGCAGTGCCTGCCAAACTGTCTTGGGATATATGTGTTACATTATCTCAAGATGTTTTCTCACTGCTGTTCTTCTTGTAAACCTGTAAAATTCTTGAAAAGTTGTAGGGTATATGTAAAATATCACACTGTTCTTTGGGTCCTAATATCCACTTAAGAATAAAAATGACTTGGAGATAATTACTCTTATAGTATTTACAATTTGGTAAAAAACTTAGTAGCCAAGTGATAATAGAACAGGTAGAATTAATCAACAAGGGACTCGGCTAATTCTTTGCTATTTCTGTAACTATATACTAAGAAACTGTGAACATTGTGGTGTACATTTTATTATCAACTGGACTTCAGAAAAAAAGAATGAAAATTCTCTGGAGTACTTTAGAAAGACTTGATTGTAAAATCTACTATTTAACTGTATTCTCCAGATCTTGAGGACCTTAAACACAGGAGCATAAAATCTTAGTCAGAAGACCTTGTATAATGTTATAGTTGAGGCACATCATGAAGAATATGCTCAATGTAACACAGGACTGAAAATATTTCCAAATTGAAAAGGAAAAAAAATCAATAAATTTTTTTTGCAAAAGGTCAGGAGATTTTAACTAAAGAAATTCCAAATGACCTAAGCATTTAGAGTGTATAAATAAAAGCTTATAAGCTTTTATTTAAACAAATTTCAATATTCTACACTAGTTTAATTGATTATTCCATGACAGCTTCTTTTTTATTACTATTACTTAGCT